CCTGCTGATTCTAGAGAGAATCAGCAAATATTTTCAAGCATGCATTGTACTGCATAAATTATTCTCAAGCATATACTGAACATCTGATAGACTGTGATTAGAGCTGGTTAGAGATTTTAAAACAAATTGTTTTTTGGTTGGAAAACATCCGTTTGCCTAAGCCAAAATCTCTGCTGGCTCATCTTTACTAGTTTCAAAGAGACATCAATGTCTGATCAAAGCTAGACATGATTACCCATCCCAGAATAGCCAATGACCTGGTAAACCATGTGGGATCATAAAGAAGGACGGTGGCTCAGTGAGATATTTTGGTGCCTGGGCCAGAGGAGGGGGAATTTTGTTGACCACTGGAGAACAGGAGGGTGCACTGGGGGAGGGGGAGCAGAATCTTATCTGCCTCTGCTCCCTCCACTCAAGTGGCAGTTCCTACAGCTTCTGCTGTACCAGCATGATTTTAGGACTACATGATTCTTCTGTACATGAGGGAGAAGCTCACTGCATGCTGTTGCAGCAGCCTGGCCAGTTCAGATTCCTAAGGGATGTTCCTGATGCCCTTTTTGCTTCCTCTCTCCCACAGATATTCTCCTGCTGCAGGCCTGTGCCTCCCATGGCAAAGCTGGGGAGGAGGGCACATTCCACTCACTTCACTTACCCCCCACATACACTACCAGGCATGGGGCTGGACCTGCCCAGCTCCTTATCACTGGGCTGTTCAGGGTTGCCCATGCCATGGAAAAGACTCCTTGGGGCAAATGGGACCATGCTGATGTCCCCGCCAAGGCTAGGGACAGAAATTACACATAAACTGGTATAAGTGATCAGAAACTGGTTCAAATCTGTAACAAAAGAAGTTCAGTGTACATAGGAGAATGCAGCTCCCTACTGTAACTGAGAACACTTAGCAGGAAGCATTCTGAGTTACGACAGTCTCCCAGACCAAACAGAAGTTCACTATTGGTTCCAGGCATGGGCGACTGGTGCCTCTTGTGTCAGAGGGGGCACATGCCCCCCCCCCCCCAACACCAGTCAGCAATCGGGGGGAGGTTCCCAGTGGCTGATCCCACTGACCGGGGCGGGGTGGTACCCCAGCAGCCAATCGCACTCACCAAAAAGCGGCTGCACCGTGCCACTTCTGGAATTCCCACAGCCACTTCCAGAAGTGGCCCCACTCCCCGGCTGGCACTTGCAGGGGGGGGCACTGGTGCTCCCACCTGCACCCCTGCCCACTGCCTAAACAGGGAGTGAAGCCTGACAGGGGGTACACCGGTGTTCTCAGGAGGTGCCCGTGCACCCCCTATGTGTCACCTCTGTTTCCAGGGGGGAGGGGAATCTAGCTTCTGGCTGCCAGCCTGCAGCCAGTTTCCCTTAGCAACAACCCCCTCCTCTCTCCCAGCCTGTCCCTTTTTCAGAATGAGAGGTGGGGAAAGGAAACAGAGGGAGCTCATTTGAGGGATTACCCAGCCAGTGCTGGAGGGTGTGGTGTATGTATTGCAGTCTCCTCATCTTAGGGGGTGCTCCAGTACATCTGTTCTACCCTTCAGCAGGGGCTGAAAAGCCTCCAAATTGAACTCCTCCCCATTCCTCCCCCCCCCACCTTCCTGAAAACAGTGACAGGCTGGCAGGCAGTGCAGACAGAAGTTACAGGAAATTATCTGTTTTGAAACATCTTCTTCTGCACCCTCATACAAAGAGGGTTCAAATTTTCACCCAATCAGCCATTTTTGAAGCTGTCTGCAGCCATGCATTTGTGGTTGGTCATGGCTACAGACCACTTTCTGTGGCCAGATCAAGCAAAAATTGTTGCTTCATTCTGAGCACATAAACTGCTTTCAAAATGGCTGGAGTCAGTTTAAGATAAACTTGGATGGATGTAGTATTATCAGACTTAATTGATTTAAATTAAATTAGTTTATTGAACTTCTGTCCTAGATCCACTCCAGATTCAAGTTAGCTCACAGTCCCCCAGCATCCCAAGATGCTTTACACCTCCCCCGCAGGGCAGGCTGGCTAGACTTGGCCCAAATTGTCTGCTCCGGCTGAGCAAGAAGGCATGCTCTACTGCCCCTCAGCTTCTGTCTTCGGCCACTTCAGGCATGTGGCTGAATTTCCAGAATCAGAAGTAAATGTCTGTTCACTTGTTTATTGATTTACTCTGTGAAGTGTGGACTAACCTATGAAAATTGAATTGATATAGTCTTGGGCTTTGACTGGTTGTACTTAGCCTAAATCAGTGAATACTTATTCTCCCTCCCCCCAATTATGCTACTGAAGGTGGAGTTTCAAGTCCTTAATCTACACCAGGAAGAACAGAGCTTGAACACTTATCTGTTACATCTCAGCTCATGATTCTTCCCACTAAATTATTTGGATGCTGGATAAGGGTCTCTCAATTATAAACTTCCAAACATCTTGGGTCCATCCCAATATGGAATGGAAAACAGAAAATAAAATCCTGAAAATTTTGCTCAACAGCAAAACTGTTTCCTACTAAGCTTCAACCTTCAGTACAATAACTAAAACATCCCAAATCCCAACATGGCAAATTTTGGCTAATATTGTCTATTAAATAGTTCACATTTCTCCCATAATTAAAACTTGGTGATATACAATTCCTTGTAGGTTTGACCCTCAGAAAGGCTTTTGGTGTCAGCTACTAGAAGGAGGGAAGACAAAATGCCTGGGAAAGAGCAAAGGCCAAAAATACCCACCAATGGATCAAGAGGTACAGTTTTTCTATAGATATTAGTCAGTATTTGTGCATACCTAATGGAAAATTAGGACTAGGGAACAAAAATAAGGAGCAGTTTTACAGATTTTAATCCACGCTCCTGCAATAGTGCAAAACAGTAGAATCTGGATCATTTGTATCTAGGTGGTTTACAACCAATTTAGTTCACAGAGGGCATGTCTACAGATGCAATTACAGCACGTGAATAAACTGTGGAGCCTATTGCTCTAGAGTGAATTGCTCCTGGGCACACCGTTTGAATGCACACCCAGGAGCAATACACTCCAAAGCAATAAGCTCTGCAGTTTATTCAAGCACAGCATGTGGAGCCGAGTCAGAGAAGCCCCAGCTGGTAGAGGGGTACAGGGGTCACACTACAAGCTCAGGGCTGCTCCTCTCTGGCTGAACAAGCTGCAGAAGGGCAGGCTAGGACACAAGGGAGCTTCAGTTTGGGGGCTAGCCAGGAGACAGACCTCACACTGAAGCACCCTGGTACCCCAGCCAGCTGGACAGTGCACTCCTACAGAGTGTTTTTACTCTGCAACAGAATAGTACTTGTACTTATCCTGCTGTAGAGTAAATTAATTTACTTCAGCTTAATATGGGTGCACGTGTAGATGGGGAGATGTTTACTGGGAAGCTAATTAGTCAATTGTGCAGTAATACTCTTATGTAGACATGCCTAGAGGGCTGCCAAATTAAAGACAGTCTGCTCAAGTGTTTGCCGTAACTTTTACTTCAAAGGATACTGCTTCTCTGATCACTTGGAGCTCATCAGCAAACCTACATAGCTGTTTGCTGTGGCTCTATATATCCCCAGGTAGTTTGCAAACCCTCATCTTTACAGGGTAGTAAGGATACTTTGAAAGACGCTTTCAAAGGATCCAGATTCTATTGAAAAGTTTTAAAGAATATAAAACATTTGTTTAGATAGATTCTACTAACGCTAAATTAATTAACGCTGAGTACTAAAAATGCTGATGCATGTGCCTTAAGAATTTTAATAAGCCTGTTAAGTTATTTTTGAATGGGGAGGGACAGAAAGGAAGAGGCATGTCGGTGAGGTAGGATTTTTCCTTGTTAGTTTTGTACCAGCGTGTCATTTTCTGAGGCAAACTCTCTTTGACTATTACTTTCTCCTCCTCCTCAGTCTCGAGCTTTTCTTTCAAGCTACTACAGAGATCACAACGTGGAATTGTCCAAACTACTGCATAGACTGGGACAACCTCTGCCATCATGGCTCAGACAGGAACTACAGAAAGTGAGATAGCACTGAAGTTCAGGGGACCAAAGTCTTTAATGACACTTACCTTCAGCATAAACCCCTTTGCTTTCCCCGACTTACATGTGATCATCACTGGAGGGCTTCATAAATAACTCTTTCTCAAAAAAAAACAAACAAAAAACCCACAAAGAATAAAAAGAAAAATAAGAAAACTGTTATATATGCACGTGCCGGCAGTTATTCTCATCAATCCCTTTGTCAGCTTCCAGGAAACAATATGGAGCTATGTGGCATTATTCTTTATCCAGACTGGGACTCTTACATAGTTTAGTCCCTCTGTTTACCAGAAAGATCCACAAACTGTATGTATGATTGATAGTCTTCACCGTATATGACAAATTACAGTCTGTCAGGACACAAGCAAAGGACGGAAACATCTCTCAGTGGATTGTGAGGTTGGTCATTAGTTTTCTTTTCTATTTGTTCTTTGTTTGTTCAGTTTGCGGGGTAAGAAATCAGGGTACACATAATTTTACAGGGTACATTCCATACTTTGCACTAAGATGCCCTAATAATAACTAAAAATTATAGATTATGTAGTAAAATTGAACAGTTGTCTTCGCTGCTTGAACACAAGTTGTTCAGCCCATGCTGGGTTAAATTCTTTGCTGGCACAACTCTATGCAGTTTTTGACAGATTTGGTTCATAGTCTATTGGCTTTCCTTTATAACCTTTTTCTTCCCCAAAAAGATGTACCCTGGTCCATTGGACCAATGTGGGTCCCTGAGGTTAAATGCAGAAACATGACTTTCCTCTTGGTGGATTTAGTAGTGAACGTCAACAAAGTTGGCTGATTGAAAACTGTGCACTCTGCTGAACTGCCACTTTTACTCAGCTACTTTGCCACCCTTGATAAGGTTCTTCATCATGCTTGTCTAGCTCCCACAGTGCCTGTAACAAAGACTTGGGATGTGAAATCTTATTAAATAGTTTGTCATAATGTCATTGGTGCTCATAAAACCAACATCAAAAAGGTCAAAAAATCTAAGCAGCCCATTAGCCTAGTTATCTGCACACTGACAATGACTTAATTCTGAAAATTTAGTTGTTGGTCTTGAGACCAAATGTTGTTACTCTGAAGCCTTTAAAATAGAGAAATTGGGTAATAGTTCTTCTAGAAAAGGTCTACAGAATTTCAAAGAAATGTCAGTACAAATGCATCTGGGTTACATAGAAATTATTTACAAGCTTATAGTATTTAATGAAGGATCTCCTTCCTGTACAATTTTTAAACCAGTCACTATAAAACAAGAAGGAATACTGTCCATAATATATCAAATATTTAATTTATAGTTTTTTACTTACACATTGACATACAGTGTATTTGGATAGACACACACCTAGTTTTATATGCCCACTTATTGTACATGTCTTTTGGATTATACAAAGTATAGATTACTGTAGATATGATAGTGAACACTGTTGTATTCCTTGGTATAGTAAGGTCAGGTTTTCAAGGCTGGGCAGTAACTCAGCTGGATATTTAAGCTATGCAAAGAAAACCCATGCTTACAGACATGATTTGGCAAGTAAACAAATCATAGAAGCATAGAAAATAAGGGTTGGAGGTCATCTAATCCAACCCCCTGCTCAAAGTAGGACCAGCCCCAACTAGATCATCCCAACCAAGACTTTGTCTTGCTAGGTCTTAAAAACCTCCAAGGATGGAGGGTCCACAACCTCTCTGGGTAACTTGCTCCGGTGCTTTACTATACTCCTAGTGAGAGAGGTTTTCCTAAGATATAACCTAAACTATCCCTTGCTTCAACTTGAGACCATTGCTCCTTACTCTCTCATCTGCCACCACTAAGAACAGTCTAGCTCCATCCTCTTTGGAACCACTGTTCAGGTTGTTGAAAGCTGCTATTAGTCCCTCCTCCCCTCAGCCCCAGTCTTTTCTTCTCCAGACTAAATAAGCCGAGTTCCCTCAGCTTCTCCTCAGAAGTCATGTTCCCCAGCCCTCTTACCATTTTTGCTGCCCTAGGCTGGACTGTCTCCAATTTGTTCAAAACTGGACACGGTACTCCAGGGCATTTTTACATGTGCTCTGGGACATGGTGCCAGGTGCTTTAATTAGTGAGCTGCGCTAATTAAAAGCACCCACGCGCCATATGTCTCAGCATCCCCCATGCTGAAAAAATGGTGGTAGGGCACTTTGAGCGTGTTTTATTTTAAAGCACCCACCACCATTTTTTCAATGCGGGGATGCATGGGGACACTGATGCATGTGACAGGGAAGGCTGCCAGAGCAAGTCAATTTCCATGCTCCAGCAGACTCAGTTAACTGAGTTTATTTCCGATGCTCTGGATTTCCAGCATGGAGCATTGCTCTGATGCGCTGGCAATGCTCCTACTAATGTGACCCAGTATACTGTTAGCCTTCTGGGCAATGAGGGCACACTGTTGGCTTATATTCAGCTTACTGTCCACTGTAACACCCAGGCCCTTTTCTGCAGAGCTGCTGCCCAGCCAGTCAGCTGCCAGCCTGCATGGGATTGTTCCGTCCTAAGTTCAGGACTTTGCACTTCTCCTTATTGAACCTCATGAGATTTCTTTTGGTCCAATCCTCCCATTTATCTAGGTCTCTCTGAATCCTAGCCCTACCGGCCAGCATATCTACTATTCCCCCAGCTTGGTGTCATCTGCAAACTTACTGAGGGTATACTCCATCCTATCACCCAGGTCATTGATGAAGATCTTGAACAAAACCAGCCCCCAACCCCTGGGGTGCTCCACTTGATACCGACTGACAACTAGACATCAAGCCATTGATTACTGCCCTCTGAGTCCAATAGTCCAGGCAGTTTTCTATTTACCTTACAGTCCACTCATCCAACCCACATACCCTTAGTTTGCTTGCAAGAATGTTGTGGGAGACCATATCAAAAGCCTTGCTAAAGTCAAGCTATATCATGTTCATGGCTCTTCCCACATCCACAAAGACAGTCATCTCATCATGAAAAGCAATCAGGTTGGTCAGGCATGACTTGCCCTTGGTGAATCCATGCTGACTGTTCCTAATTACCTTATACCCCAAGTGCTTAGAAATGAATTTCTTGAGGATCTGCTCTATGATTTTTGTAAGGATGCAAAGGAATTATTCCTACCACTTTATACAATGCAAGATGAAACAGTGCCACATTTTATTTTCCTATTTCCATTATCTGGCTTTGAAGACCTGATCCAAAGGACTTGGGAACTTTAAAATTAGTTAGGCACCTACAGTCTTCAATATGAGACCCAAATTGCAATGTAAAAAACTCTGCTTAGCATTCGCCTATCCCTAGAAGTACCTTAAGTTACTGTGTACCTTTTTTATTTGAATATTCCAGAGGATCCCACAGTTCTAATTCTGTATGTATCCAAAACTGCCCAAGAACAAGCAGCTGAGCATCTCTCTCCCACCTAAACCTAGTTGCAACCTGCAGCCTGCTGTATCTATGTCCCCTGAAGGAGGATCTATTAGATGTGCTCTTAGCCAGCTAACACTGTCAGGCTTTTCTCTAAATGTAGAAGAAGTGCCCACCTTTTAATTAACAGCCTTGTTAGAGAGCTTTGTCAAGAAGAGAGATACCTGGTATCCACTAATACATGTTTAAGCGTTGAATTTTATCTTCAGCAAGTCATCAGTAATTAAAATAAATTCATAATTTTAAAGTGAAAAGCTACAGAAATTTCAAATACTTTGGGGTGGGGGAGGAGTTAACATTTTAAAGGGCTTTCATGGGAATGAAATGTGTGCCTTGAAATTTGCTGCACTCCCTTTGAAGGAGAAAAAAAGAGGACCAGCGTCTCACTTAGAAAAAATGCAAATTTCAATCTCAACTAGGCAATAGCATTACATTCTTGAAAGACATTGCAGAACAGAGAAATCATGTTATTTCTCTAGCTTTTCCCTGTATTGTCATTCTTACATTTTTAGACAGGTGTCACACTACCAGGATTTCTCATGTTCTCACTGATATGCCAGCATTTGATGTGGCTTTATTATGTGACACATGAAGATAAAATAACAGCGTAAGATCTTATTCTTTCCATCTGTAACAAGAGCTATCAATGCAGTCATTCTTCACAAAGGCGTTATTTTCGAAGTGTCTTTGTGCACTAGCTGTAAGTATTCTTGATTATTTTTCTGTTAGCAATTCATGCAATTATGGTTTGATATCAATGACTAAGTAATTGTTGAAAATATAAACCACCAGTAAAACATATACAACCAAAATGAATAGTAAACCAATTTTGAAAAGAGAAACAGCCTTTCTTTTTAGTTTCAGGGCCCAGTTTTGCATTTCTTCCATGTGAAGAACTCACAGGGAAATCAATAGTAGTTCTACTTCTGGGGAGATTGTAGGACTGGATATACATGTTTTCCCCTACTTCAGTTCAGTGTCTTAATGTCTAGTAGGTTCTGGTCTGCTCTTGGAAATATTTATTTATAGACTTGAATTAGTTTGGGGTCACAAGAGACTTGATCCAGTGCCCTTTCAAGTCAATGAAAGTCTTTCTATTAGCTTAGGTGAGCACTGGAATGGACCCTAATTGCTTGTGTTTAGTAAACTACACCCATGTGATTCAGCTTTCACTGTTTGAACTCCACCACCACATTGGTTTCTATTACTGTGTTACATTTATGCATTCTCCATCTCAATTGACTCAGTCCTTCAATTTAATCTGTATGTGTTGATGTCTATCCCTATGTAGTCCTTCCCAAGTTAAATATGGATGAAATCTCCCTATACAGAACAGTTTGCTTGATTATTCCACCTTCACTCCTCCTGAATATACCTCCTTCCACACTCTTATCCTGTGCAGCTCTGACTTTAAAAGACCTGGATAGACACAGATGCCAGAGTCTGTACTAGATCTGTTTACAGGATTGGCGTCTCAGTGCTTATAAAATTGAGTTTATATAACTGAGGTTGTAATTTAGCTAGAGGCAATCAGAATAGCATCTGAAATCTTCTAAATTGTGTATTGACCTCTCAAGGTCTAAAATAAATTTTCCAGATTAACTGCTTTTAGACTCCTTTTTAATAAAACAAATTTTCTTTCAGATACAGAGTCAGTCTGCCAAGTTTCTCCAGAACAAATTAAAATGGTAGAATTAT